TTAGTATGCATACTGGTATAGAGCTTAAGCAGATATTCCAGCAAGCTCTTTGTATTCTCCTGTAAAGTGAATTCTCTTGACAAAACAATTCAAGGGATTTTCTTGCTTTACAGTGCATGAAAATGTGATTACTTAATAAACAATATCAAGCAATATCTACATGTGGGATACTTTTTATTATGATTTATACTGCTCATTACTATTAAAACTATTTCTAGCAAGAAGCATGGGTGTTAAGAACACAGATTGTTTATTTAGCTTAAGCATAAAACTACAGAAACTTAATGTTAAGTTAAACATTAGTGTTAAGATTAAAACCAAAACCAAAGTACATAAATTAGTTGTTAAAATCAAAACAGTTAATGCAGGAACAAATATAGGAATGCAAACTCATTTAGAGATTAAAATTAAAAGAAATCTATATCTTAAATAAGATTGGTACAAATTACAAAAGCTTTCCTTTTGATTATTGCAATATAAGAAATATATTTGGATAATAAGCATCATAAAGTGATGAACAAGAATAAAGAAATAAATTTCTAAATCTTAGTTATGATTTAAGAAGAAGGCTTAAACCTAGGTACTTCCAAAAATTTATTAAGAGGGCACATGACAAAGAATGATGCTCAAAACTTAATAAAAAACAAATATCATCAAAATCTTTGTCATTATGAGAATTTTTTAATGTAAAAATAATTTTTTTTATCCTTTTTAGAACTTTTGTCAATTTTTTTCTAACATAGAACCTTAAATTTGTACAGGAAATTTGAGTGTCTTTTTACAATGAACATTGATTTGGAAATTCTTGCAAAAAAATCAGATGTCTTTTATTTGAATGAAACTTTCAGAACTTATTCAGAAATTAATAGTTATTTTTTTTTTAAACAATTTTTTTTTTTTACACCTATTACCCAACACACAAAAATTATATTTTCTATTGCTTAATGCTTATATTTGTTAAGAAAAACTTTAAATTCTCTGGGCTTGTAAAGACAAATCCTCAGAAAATTTAAATCAAAGTCTTTTGGTCAAATTGGACATACATTTACAGAAAATCTTAATTGTAGTAAAAAAAGAAAAAACATTTTTTTGAAGATAAATGAATTTTTAGATGAATTGCTTTCATTTTTAAAAATTCTTAATTATAATAATTCATAAACTTTTAAAATTCTGTATTAATTTAAAACTGTATTCTCTAATCATAACTTGAAAAGCTGCTGCTAACTACAATTCAAACAACCCCTGTATTTTAAAAAGGAATATTTATGTGTGTATAAATGTGCTGAATTTTGTAAATATGGACGTTCGTAAACATCAGAAAATAAGAAGTACCTATAATAAATTTAAAATTTATGGGTAATTTTCTAACATTTTTTCAGCAAGCATCTTCATGAATAAAGCTATGTAACCAAAGTACCTAAAATTCAACAAAATATTAGAATACTTAAAAAAAATGATTACTCGGTAGTTAAAAAATATTATATATATGAAAAAAAAATGTTGTATTTGTCAGATAATTTTTTTTCAGTTCCATTCCCCTTAGTTAATTTTCCCAAAAATCAGGCTGTCAATGAGTCATTCAACGTGTCAGAAAAACACCAACTTCTATAAAAACGCTTTTTTTCTGTGATAACCTAGAAAAGTAAGTAATACTAATATTTGTTTTGATTCAGAAAAATTAAACTTTAAATCAATTAATTTTACTTCATTAACATTTGAGAAAAGCAAATTTTTTAAAATCTTTTAATAAAGAAAGAGAATCATATTTTGTGTTGACAGATCTGTCTATGGAATAGATTTTACGGAGAAGAAAAAAAAAAAGATTCCAATCAATGTAAATTCGGTTTGAAATGCACCCAAGTATTTTCCTTATTGACAGTATTAATTTATTAGCTTGCAATTTAAAACTAAAATTAAAGCTTCAAGAAAATTTGTTGATTTTTTTTTTAATGCATTAGAGTAGGTTACGTAAAAAAATCGCTTGTCATTCTTTAAATCTTCAAATTCCAATTGTAAGATTTTTTGTTTGTATAGAAAAAAAAACAAGTCAAATTTGCTTCTCAAGCACGTTTGACTTTTGTTTGAGCATTATGTAATTTTCCTAACCTACAAACTAAAAAATGTGTTTTTCTATGCTTCTTTTTATGGCAGAGAAACAGAAGCTTAATAATGGTGAGTCATAACGACTTCCTGCTTAGACTTCAGAGAGGAACTCTACTAAACGTGAAAAAGTAGTAATTTCAAAACATTTAACAATAAAACATGGACACTTTCTGTGACTGTAAGTGTAACGCATAAGTTTACTTTTGGCATTAGAAAGTAAAAAAACTGTTTTGTTGCCAATTTCAAATAAAAATAAGGTTATATTTTTTTACTGTATTTTTGTTAAAAATATATTCGATATGAATTTAAAATCAATCTTCAAAAAAATAAAAAATAACTTCATTCATGGTTACTTTTTTTTTTTTTTTTTTTACATAAAAGAAGTGGAAGTAAAAAGGAAAACCAATTATCGGGATATCAAGTTTTAGTTAACACTTAACACTAACAGTAATAGCAGATAGATTGACTGATCAGAGATTACAATTATAATTCAAACAAATACACTGAAAGGTTTCAAATAAGTTTTTGGATGTTAACCTTAGATCAGGATGTAATGTGCGTGTTTACCAGAGTAAACTAAACAACAGAATTAGCTTTGGTAAGAAAAACACGTTCGGTTAATTTGTTGATTTTTTATTTTTTTAAGAAATAGACATTTTAGAGATTCTTCAAAAAAGTTATTGAGGAAGTGACAATACAAAACAAGTACGCAATTAATGTCTAAAGTAATAGTAAAAAAAAAAAAAAAAAAAAAAAAAGATTGTACAAGTCAGCCTAATTCTCTACAATAAACAAAAAAAGATCGGTAAATTTGCTTTTTAAGCCCCGCGCTAAATATAAAATTTTCCCAAATCGTCACATTTCCCTGTAAGTGTACAATAAACTCGAATTAAGGTGATAAGGAGAAGATGTTTGTTCAGTTTACTCAACAATCTTTTTTTGATTATTGATCAGAAGGATATCGAAACGAAAGTATATTCTCTACTTAATAGAAAGACGTGGGTTTCATCATTGTTTATGTTACGCAACAGAGATACATTCATTTTTAGAAAATCGAGCCTGTAGTGCACAGATAGCATAGGACAGATAAATATTTTTGTAATGGGATAAAAAAAAAAAAAAAAAAGCGATATTAATAGTTAGAATTTAAAAGGTCCTCTTTTTTAGTAACTATTTTATTTCAAAAACAGGAAAAATGGTGGAATGGGGACTTCAAACCAAATTTCAATAAATTGATTTTTCTCATAAGTTCAGACAAAAAAAAAAAATACATCTGGTTAATCAACTATTTATTTTTTTAAAGAATGAAACATGTATTGTAATGGATACAAGTAAATACGTATATACAAAGATTTTGCTTAAGGTCTGTTTTTGGCAAGTAAAGGGTGACGCTACTTCGTAAAAAATGGAGTAAAGTATTTTTCCAGCATGTGGTAGAAATTATTTATTTGTAAGAAAAAAAAAAAAGTGACTCCCGCCCCAATTTTTACACGCACGTGTGTGCACGCGCATATCGTGGCTTACAGATATTGCATTCTCATCATTAAGAAAAAAAAAGTGTGCAAAAGACTTTTTACGATTCAAATACAAAAAAAAAATTCTATCATAAAAATTTGATGAGCAGAAACGCGATTCTTAATGCTGTTGTTTTTTAGATTAATTAGCAAAAATACGTGATTGATAATATTAGATGCAAAATGGTAAACACACCTGATGAATAAAGAAAAAAAAACTTTGCCAATAATCCCAGTGTCATCAATTCGGTCATTACATGTGATTTGTTTATGCTTCTTTCTTTAATCTTCAAACACTATCGACTTCTAAAGAGTATATTCGGTTTTATTTCTGATTGTATAATCACTAGTCTTTTTCTTTATTTATATTTAAAAATAATTTAGTCACTTTTAATGCGAATGTTAATGAGACATTTTATTTTACTTGGCTTTTTTTTTTAATTTTTAGTGAACGTCACACTAACTAACGAACCGGATCTCAAGTAGGTGTACGTTGCATTTTTTTTTTAAATTTTTATGCAACCTATACCTTAAGTAAAAGTTTCTAGTTTTTATAAAGACAATTCAGCAGAGAAAGTCTGAAACAAAATAAACTAGTAGCTACAGTCGCCATTTAAAGATTCCAGAAAAAAAAAAAACATTTAGTTGTTCTAAGTGGAGAAAGACCAACGTGCAATGCAAGAAAAGATCAGAACAATGAAAAGACATTGAATAAGAAGTACTTTAAATTATTGTCCACAGTATATAATTCAAAATGGGAGGGTTCCGTTATCGTACGAGAATGGGTCACAGGATAATGACTCGAAACTAAAAACAGAGCATTTGCTACAAATTTTTCTTAGGAAAAAATATGCTACATATTGCTAATAAGATTGAAATTTATGTAAAATTTTTTAACTTATTTTTAAGAACTAGAAATAAACATCGAAGATAATCACCTGGCGGATTTTGTTGTTTTTTAATGAAGAGGTGCTCACATGACTAAAAAAAAAAAATAATTATTATTAACTCATTTTTATTTTAATCTAGAACTGATTTTGTTAAGTTTTTTTTTTCTCGTTAAAAAAGAATTTTAAATGCAGGTGGTTTTTTAGCAATAGTCACTTCAAATTTTTTTTTTTTTTTTTTTACAAGTACTTCACTTCAGAAATTAAATAATTTAAGTCTTTTTTATTTATAATTGAAACTTGTCAGCAGACCGTAGAAAAGATAAAATCTAGTTATAAAAGTAAAATTCCCAGATATAAAAAAATGCATTATTTACTTATGCAATTCCGACAGATTTAAAATGAGCAACTGCCAGCTTCAATCTTTCATGGCTATATCGATCAAATAAAAAAAATCGTTACGGACATTAACACAAGTGTTGGTATGATTTCTCACCTGTTGAGTCGTGTGATGCCTGTCGTTAAATTTGTTTTCCACATACCTGAGGATGAGAGATGTTTTTCCAACACATCCCTCACCCAACAAGACCATCTTAAAGGAATAACTTCGTCCGCCATACTGACTTGCACCTCCCCCGGCGCCGCCGATCGACATTGCTTCAGTTTTTTTTCGTTTTTTTTTTTGTTTTATTTCTGGAACCCCTTTTTATTTTAGTTTCTACGAGATATTTTTGTCAAAAATATTTTCCTTCAGTTAGCAAGTCACATGAAGTGTTATATATAAACGTGACGTACGTAGAGACACAGATTTGTAAATAGTTTGAGTAGGGTTTGGTGGTGGTATCAATCACTAACAGTCCTCAATTCGACCTGAACCTAATGCAAAGAAAAAAAAACAAAAACAATGAGTGGCACAAAAAATGCAATCAGCAAACACTGTAGTATTAGTTATCCTATAAACTTATGGACTCCTTCAGTGGTTGTAACGTGGCACGCACACACACAAAAAAAAAAAATTATCTATTTAACTTTGGGGATAGGACAGACATTTTTCTCGTCCGTCTATCGGTCCCTATCAGACCAGACGACAACATACAAGATGGCTGAGTCTGTGACGTCATATATCACGTGGAACAATTGAGAGGGTGGGGGTAAATGAATGACGAATACGGTCTCTTAAGTACTTCAAAAATTAGTTTTCGACTACATCTTGAAATGAATAATTTATTTAAAGTTTAACATAATTTCATTAATTATATGCCTAGTAGATCGGGGTTTATTTGCTTATATATTTTTTATTAAAATTTTATCTTGAAAATTATACTTTTGTTTTGGTTATGTGCGGCCCACATCTTGGCTGACTAAACTCAGCAATTTTGGAGAACAACGAATAAAGAAAGAAGGGGAAAAGTTAACGCTACGGCTTTACCATTGGTCTGAGCTGTTAAATAGCCAGACATTGCCAGTGACAGCGATATGGCATCTTCTGACAAGGTAAGACTGTCAGCACACCTACCAAGACAACCTGCTCTATCGGACTTAATTAGTAAGACGGAGAGTAGAAGCCCGAGAGCAACCCTAGTCTATAATCCACACATTCATTAAAAACACATACGTAAAATAAGTCAGGCTATGTAATATTGTCTGAAGTTATCAAATCGTCCACTCTTGTTTAATTAGAAGAAAAAGAAATTGTTAGTCTTCTATTATTTTTGTTATTTTCCTAAATATTAAAAAAAATATATTTAAACTCGTTTCCCCACTAGTGGACTTTTATTTGATAAATTACCTGCCACGTACATTTTGAGTACACGTGTGGTTTTTGCATCGTTGTGGATTTATTTATTTTTCCCTTCCAGTCTTGACTCAACGTGTTGCTACTTGTTCTTCTCAACTTAAACTATAATTCTTAAATTTTTAATTATACATTGTCTAGTTACATACTTTTTATTGTTTATGTTAATTTAAGTTTCTACACAACCTGAATGAAACCTGCCAACTTAAAGAGAATTTTTTTTCTATTTTTTATTTATTCTTGATAGGTACGTACGTGAATATATATTTCTTTAATACAAGTTCTCTTTCTCCCTGACTAAAATATACTTATTATAAATAAATTATTTATCTTACAAAAAAGTTACTACATTTTGTTTGATTTGTTTAACAAAATGTCTTTAAAATATTGTTATGCGTCATAGTTGTTCTTGGCTGTTGTAAAAAAAAAAAAAAAAATTGCAAGATCACATATCCTATCCCCTTTCTTTCCGTATAAATTAACTAAAATTTATATAGCTGACCTAATTCATAAAACATTTGATGAAACTGATTCTGGAAAGTGAATGTAAGTATTAGTTTTATTTTCAAGTTACAAGCAAGTAGTAAACTTTGCTATTTTTTTCTTTTACTAAGGAGTACAAGGTACCCCTTAAAATCGACAATTAGAAAGTTTTTGTAACTTTCCAATGTACATTTTTATTTTATTCACAGGTAAGTTTTTATTTAGAGTATGCTACCTACTTTTTATTTTACCTGTGTTAGGTGGGTGGGTGTGCTAAGTTCACCTGACCACCGCATTCCTTAGTTTGGTGGTTGATTTTTGTTTGTGAATTATGAATTGCTTTAAGTCACCTTTTTGTTTAAAAGTGCACTCACCGTTTTTTTTTAAAGCTCAAAAGTTAAAACTTTCTCAAATTTTTAAAGTCTATTATTATTTTTTTACTGATTTTTGTTTTGTATTAACTTTTTTTATAGTTCAACTTCAAACTAATGAATTTATTTTCAAGATCATAATTTCTCAATGTCTTTCGTTATTTATTACAAAAGAAGCAAAAATTGGACTAGCGATGAATAAACCTTTTTTTTTTCCTGCGAAACTTACTTTAACAAACAAGTTTTTAAACTGTTTTTAAAACAAAAACTGCCCGCCTTTTTTCTCTTTTTTCTCTTTACCTTCCTGTCAATTTTCTCTACTTCCGATGAGGAAGAATTACCTGGAAAGAATCTGTTTTCAGTCGACAACAGGTGTTTTTGTCACCTGGTATTATTTGCCAGGTGTTGTCTTAAAAACAAAGCAAAACAAACGTTTTTAAGTGGCCTTCTATTGAAACTTTCTTTACTTAAAATTCCAGGTAGATGAGAATGTTTTAAACTTTTTTATGTTTTTTTTTTTACTTGTTTTACTCCTCACTTGCGATCCACTTCAGATTTTTTTTCTAATACACACTGTAGTAAATACGCTACAATTAACGTCGAAACTCGAAAGTATTGAACTTTTACGTATTTTTAAAACTTTTTCTCGTGGTTAAATCAAGACTAAGAAGCTAATTAGTCAACAAATATAACCTTTTTCTTTTCTTTTTTTTACCAAGTCGTTTATTTGTGCTAGTATTTTGAATTTACTGTTTAACCAGTAAAATAAAAGTCTTTAAGTTTAATACTACACATTTTTCTAAATTAAATAAAATCTCTTTTAATTAAACAGGTCCTTTACGAGAAAGACAGCGTTTTTATTCATACAAATGTACTTGAATCAAAAGACAAAGATGCCTATATTCCAGGAAGAATTTACTTTGTTGAAAAGGTAAGTTAATTTTGAAGTCTTCCGGGTAAGGCATTTTAAGTCTAACTACAACCTTCTTGTTGTAGGAGATAGTAAAACACTTTATTCAATTTGCTGAAATGATGACTGTCACTGTTCCACTGGTGTAATTGTTACTATTGAGTCATTGATTGAGTGTAATAAACTGAGTTCACTAATAATAACAATAGTGATCGTTTTACTTAGCAGTGCATTCATTACTTACCAATGTTAGCAATTGATGATGCCTTAACTAAATTTTACCTGAAAAATTATTTCCAAATTTAATATTGGGAAATAAAGTTTCTATCCCCCCCCCTTTTTTTTTTTAGTTCAATCTCTACATAAATTTCTGGCTGCTAATAGCCATTACACATTGCAAGTGTAAAATCCTATGGGCTCTGCTGCAAATGTAGTCCTTACCATATAGAAACTTGGGGCAGAATGTTGGATTATATCCCGTGGGTGACCAAACTTGCTTAGAGTAAAACTTTTTTTTTTTTTTTTTTTTTTTTTCCACAGTAAATGTGACATAATAAAGTTCAAATATTTGAGAGCAACAAGACAATGCATATTTTATTGCTACAAATACTTTATATAAATTAACAAATACATACCAAATATTTTCAAAACCATGACTGATGATTTTGAGAAAATGAATCCTAGTAACAACTAAGAAAAATGTTATTGCTTCTCGGTAAAATAAAATTAGGCTGCCAAAAACAACAAAAGATTATAAAACTTAATATTTTTAATATATAAACTGATGAGAGAAGAAAAGATTGACTACTATATTTCAGCTAACCACATATCCACTGGATGCTCAAGTCTGTTAACCACCCCTGAATTATATTAATTTTGTAATTCTACATATATCTAGTTCTAGTATAGAACAAAGAATGAGCTTGCTGTTCTGGGTTTCAGACAAAACATTTCACAGGAGTACTTTTTGAAAATGTAAATTATATAGTCGGGGCTAAACTTTGAAAATGTCCGCTATGAGTATGAATGTAACATTGTATGGATGTAAAGTTGCCGGCTTTCTCTTCATCAATCAACAGACTGTTTTGCTTTCAAAGTTTAACCTTTTGATGACAAAACTTATTTCTAGCATACCTCCCAGGCAAATGTGTGTAAACACTGGTAAGAGTTGAAATATTAGATACTGACATAATCTCAATCTACTGATTCTCTTTAAAAGCAGAAATTTAACTAAGTTATTTGCTATTTTTATGTTATTGCAATATACAATGTTGAAAGTTTTTATCTTTTCAGGTGATATTAAGTTTTAAGCTGTCATCATCATGACTTTTTCCAACATAGTGCATCCCTTGCTAGAATTTATTTTTCTATATTCAGTGCTTGAAATTAAGTGCTGTTACCATAGAACTTATGGGAATCTAACAAATTCAACTATGAAATGAGACCTAGCTGCCAAACTAGTACTGTGCTTAAATTCTGTAAGTTGAGGTACCAAAGACAAAAGCTCATCAGGACAATTATCATAAAAATATTTATGAAACAGGCACATGGAAACTACATTACAGCAATGGTGGGGAAAGGGACTGAAGCCAAGATGTCAGGATAAGACCAATAACATTGCAGATTCTTCTTTGGATTTTATCATGAATCTTTAAATACATAGCAGAAGCACCAAGCCAGAAGTGACAATAATATTCATTTCATGGAAGAATAGGTTCTGCTGAGAAAAAAACTGTCTAACACAACAGTGTACCAACTTTCCTAGCAGCAGACCTAGCAATTAATTCGATATAATCTTTCCACTTCATGTTGGCAGAAAATCTTAGATCAAGAAAGCACAAGGAGTCATTTTCATGGAGGTTAGCATCGGCCATGCTAATGGAAGAGAAAATAGTTCTCTAAGACTATTAAGAAAGCACTTTCATTTTGGAGGTGTTAACAGGCAATTTCTTGCTTCAGTTAGCAGATTGTACGTTATTTTTGAGATCAGCTGCCAATCTGACCATATCAAACTGATCACTTACCACTAAGACAGGTGTAAATAGTTGTTATCAGCATAGATAAAGAGCTGAGAATTGATGGCATTGGTAAGGTTTTGTTGATGAAAATTATGAACAACATATGTCTAAGGATAGAGCCCGGGGACATCTGCATAATGCAAAAAGACCTAAAAGAGTGACCGTTCACGACAACATTCATTTTGCAATTTGATATAGATTGAATCCAATCAAAAATGAATCCAGTAATACCATAACCATACAACCTGTTAAGACCAGTATGCTGAACTCTGTCAAACACCTTTTGAAATATCCAAAGCAACAGCCTAAAACTTTCAGCAGTAACTGCAAATACATTAGCAGTTGACCTAGAGAAGCAGAAGTTGTATTACTTGTCTGAAAGAGCCTGCATGAGTAGATGCTTAACCAATTTGTAGTTGATTAGATCCTCTGGTATTTTGCCAAAAAGAAGTATGCTAAGAGACCAATATTTAGAAGGATCAGATGGTTCAACTGATTTCTTCAAGACTGGAACTACAGAAGATGATTTTCAACAAGCAGCAAGGCATTCATTGTAGAATTTAGAGAGCAGGAACCAGTTCAGGATCACATTTAAGAACTGTTACATATATACCATCTAGTTCACATACTTTGTAGAGATCCAGTCTAAAGATGATGGCATAAACCATGAACAGTGTTATATGCATATATCACATACTCAGTTTTAATTGAAAATTAGAAATCCAGATGAGTCAAGAGTGAAATTGGATGAGAATTTACGAGCAAAATATTCTACTTCATTGGCAGGTGATAACACTCCTTCAAATTGAGTGAAGAGAGGAGAAATAGAAGAATTACTCTTATTTAACACCCTATTACAGAGCCACTAGTAGTTACAAGAACCAAACTATATGGTGACTCATTTTATCAGTGAAAGACTTATCCCCTTTGAGGACATATTTAAAATTACCATAAGTGGACACAGAGGCATCTGTTGTGATCAGAACTATTACATTGGTGCTGCTTTTTCCTTCCAGTAGTCCTGGGTATGATGATAAACTACATCCAACAGCGAGGACTCTGCTTGGGAGATTGGATGTGTTGATGTGTGTGAAACCACTTCTTAATTACTGCTCCCAGGTCCACCCTAACCTGAAGTGATAGCACCTGTTAGGGTCCCAGCTATGGACAAATAGTGATCCCCCCCCCAAATCACTATGGAAGTATAAAAATACTAGCAATATGTTATATATAAATAATGGCCAACAATACATTTTATCTGTAGTTGAAGTCATACAACTGCATTCAAAATATTTAGTTGAAGCTATAAAATTGTTCAAAATATTTAGATTCTAGCATTAAATAACCCATAGAGGTAGATATGCCACTAAACAAAACTGAACAATTAATATGAAAGAACTTTCATGACATTAATCTGTATATCTTATAATTTTTTTTTTTTAAAAGAAAAACTGTATTCCAAAATATAACTTCAACAAAGCTACACTATAAAATACACATCACTGCCTCTAATCATGTTCACACAAACATGTATATGCACAAAAGCTGAGTATCAACTACCATGTACTCAATTGTGAAAGCAGAATAACATAAAATATTATTTCAAAGCTCCCAAGAAAATTAAACTTCGGCATTAAATGACTCATAAGGAGTTGATATACCATTAAACAAATCAAATTTTTTCCTTCTAAATAAGCTGAAAAGAGAGCATCATATGTTGATAGGTAATTTGTGGTCAAACAAGTGAAGTTTTGGGTAATGTTCTGTTTACTAGGCACCCTTCAAATTGATAGCCGAAGAAATGATGGATGTTAGTGGCATTTTTAAATTGATTAAGAAGTTGTTTAAATATTAATTAGTTTACAAGTGTATTGATACAAATTATAGGTTTAGGTACAACAGTTGGTTTGCTGAATCACACTCAAAGCTCAAACAGTGAAACTTGACTACTATTAAGTAATCAATGTATCCCATGAATTTGTGCAGAGGAAACTTAGGTAAGACAGTTGCAAAATATTATTTGATAACAGTATCGTTTTCTTAAATGATTTATGATGAGATAGCTTTTTTTACTTTTTTTTTTTTTTTTTTTTTAAATTGTCATCTGATTAAGTAGCAGAAAATAAACATCTGCCATGTTGAAGTGTGTCTCTGTAAACATAACACTAGCCAAAGTTTGTACACTCATTGAGCTTCATATTAGAAATATGATGAAATACTTATTCATAATCCTATCCTATTTTTGTAATCTTGTTAAAATGAGATTAACCCTTTTACCATTCATCCCACCCAAACCTGCCTTGTAAATATCAAAAAAACTATGTTCAACCATAATATGATGACATCATAAATAATACAGGAAATCAGTGTGAGAGGTGATATTTCATGAGCAAGTTTAAACATGTTGAATACTAATGGTTTAATGTCATGTTGGAAATATAGTTTAGTTTTTTTTTGTGGGGGGTGCAGTATATGTCAAAACTTTATGAAATTACAGGGTTAAAAAAATAACTGAAGGTATCCAATTAATTCATATTAAAAGCTGGCTTATTGTTTTTGAATAGCAGATATCAAATATTTGAAATTATAATCTGGAAAATCTCTAAAAACTTATGACAAAAGAGGTTACAGTATCTTCTATCTTCACATTCCCCCTTGATTTAATGTGCACACACACACACACACACACACACACACAATTGACTTCTCTTAATCTAACACAGAATAAGGTGGTAAATATAGCAGACTAACTCTGGTTAACCTGTATGAACAAAACCTTTGTCTTTTTAATTCCCCCACCTCCACCACCGGGCAATACTTATAAAAAATCTCATTTTTTACCTTAATATTTTATAAGCTTGTTTGAATGATGTTTTGCTATAGAAAGAAACATTTGTTTGCAGGCTAATAAGGTGTGAGTGGTGTGATGGCTAGTGGCCCGGAATGAGAGAGCAGAGTTCAATGTAGAAAAATTCATACTCAAATTTTCCAAAACTTTGTATG